CTCTCGAATCCATTATATTTTTTCTCAGAGGACGTACGTGGCACCTCGCGGTGGTCCGGTTGGCGGCTCGTGCGTACCTGGAAGCTAGTCAGGCGTCGTGAGGGACTCGTAAAGACTACTTGTTGAGGGAAAATAGGTCCGCTGCACCTGCATTATCAGGCAATTGATAAATATGCTGAACCAAGAATTGCCGCGGCATCCTGAAACAGATAAAACACGAATCTCATGGCATTACCAGATTATTAATAGGGCAGAGCAGGGTAATGCGCCCCGTCGAGGTAATGCACCCCTTCCCCACATCTCGACTATTCATAGTTATTGATGTAACCTGAGATTGACAGATTGCTTGAACTTGTGTTATGGCAAATGTGTCCTTTTTGTGGACGCTTGGTGTAGATGGCAGATAAGGAGCAGAGAATGCAAGTTTTAGGGCTAAATGGAACTTTTTCAGCACACCTGTTGAGTCTCTGCACTTCACCTTCGAGCTTTACTTCCCAAATATATAAAGCTAGTAAACAAGACAGGGATTTGCTGGCTTAGCTTTGAAAAGAAAAAGTGACACGTCTGGCGCATGTTTCTTAAAATAACCATAATTTGTATTGAGACAGCTGGGGTGATGCGTCTCGTCAAAGGGGGGGGGGGGGGGGCTGTGCCCGCTGGCGGCGCTTTGCCACGTGAAACCATCAGACCTTCCAGATGAGAAGTGATCACTTCTTGTCTTTATGAAGTAATACCAACTTAAGCATAGGTAGAGCATATAATTGCTAGTCTGGTGATATCCCGAGTACTTTAAGGTTTACATCGCAATCACAGTGTTATAGCTTAATATTTGCCCTTCCTTCGTCCTTTTTATTTTTGCACTCTTGGATCTTGGCTGGTCTTGAAAGTTGATCTCACCTTTCCTCTGGCTTGCGAGCATCAGCAAATCTGCTACAGCGAGTGTTCTACATTTGTATGGGGTTTTGGGCTGAAATAGCTGCCTTGAAGATCATTCTGTGTAGTTCACAGCCCTGGCCATTTTAAGACATAAATCTCTCTAGTTCCTGTGCTGCACGCCTTTGGATATGTGCAGACTTTTTCGGGGAGAGTATTTCAATGTCACCCCGACACACATGACGCCACAATGACGTTGCTACCATCCTGCCATTCCCATTATGCATGCGGCCATCTCAGCCAAGACAAATATAATTATCGAGTCGTTCGTATCTGGCGTTTGTGAGCATGATTTCCAGGTACAACGCCTCTTAATTGGCTTGCGATCAATTTTGTGCGAGGTGCGATGACGTTATCAAACGACGACGTATTGGGGAGTAAATTTACTGAAGACAGAAACTGTGTTGTCTTGAGCAGTCTCTTCTTCTTAAAGGGATATCAAGAGTTGTAAGTGGGCGTAATTGGGCCCATTTAGGCCGCTGAATTCCGAGGTGTTTCGGCCACGACGCCTTCATAAGATATGTGATGAGTTAGCAATTGGTACCGAATCTGAAGTTGGGCAAGGACGGTGACTGTACGCTGCAGAGTGCTACAGACAGCAGGGACGAATTTGGCGCAGATTCGGAGCGACTTCACCCGTGTGGACATTGGGGTTAGAAGCAACGCTCAGTTCTGAAAAACATAACAGCCTGTGGTCGTTCCTAGCGGCATTCAACATTGTTCAGAGGCCGTCCCCTTTGCAAGGGCATCAAAACGCGAGCGCAAACGGTGACAAAAAAGTGTACTGTGGTATCTTCTTCACAATACAAAACGGTTTCTGCAGAAAGAAAACCCGAAGTAAAGAGCGAGGGACAGGGAAGAGGGGTAAAAGCGGTGCAGGAGAACGCGACGCGGTGAAATGGTGAGGGAAAGATGGCAAAGAAGCAAGACAACGTAAGCACTACGTGCTTCGTCTGCTGTATGCAGAGCCGCCTGTCTTGCGAATCCCGGATTCGTGCACGAAGCGCTCAAAATGAGCGCGTGGACCATATACGGTTGCTTGCAAAGGACAAATGCCTCATGGATGAGACCTCTGCCCGGAGTAGAGGGAAGGCCAAACAGCCACGTGTGAACACTGTTGTGCAAAAGTCTCAGTTTTGGTTTTGTCTTGCTATAGAATGCCAGTTTCAGTAGCCTGTGACCAGTGACGACGTAAGTGACGTTTTGAGTCTTGTGGAGATTGCGACTTTATCTAAGTTTTGAGCTTTGTGCTCCTTAGATGAACATTAAAACGATGCCAAATAGCTTATATATATATATATATATAAACGATGCAATAAACTTAGCAGAACGATGTATCACAGATCTTTGCGGTGCGTGAGCTAGGCAGCATCAAGCAACATAGAACGGCCGTGAACGATTTTTTACCATGGTATACTGTGTTCATTGAACACATCGCACACGTGCACTGGGCAGACGGATCTTGAGCTGAACACGCTTCACTCGACGCTCTTCATTACTGCCCATTTTCTGCAGAAACTTCGCCGATATGACCTTTATGCTTTCCATGAAATGGAGGCGGAGCAGAATGCGCACGTGAGCATTTTGAGAAGGGCCTGAACTGATTACATCTTAAGGCTGATGCCTTGTGCGACACGCGATGAAATAAACGCACGTGTGACACGTGTCTAAATAAAGTTTTTACATGTAAGGAGCGCTTTTCCCCAGTGCAGGGAGCCGTTTGCCCGAGCTGTGGCTCCTTTTTGCTATGGCTCCATTTCCCTGGCTATCCTACGAGGAACAAGGCTATTAGTGCTGTGTTATCTATGCTAGTTATCATTCCATTGATTAGAAACTAGCCAGCCAGTCCCGGACCTGGCCGGGTGCCTGCTCGTGTGCCCAATATACCTGATACAATATACATGCGCTTGTCCATGGCAAGCGCATGTGCTCCTCATCTCTCTGTGCAGGCATTGGAACTGTCGAACGCAGTGGAGGGCGACATTACCTCCGCACGATTTAGACTCGGTCGCGAATCGTACGTCGGCGCCACTACGCCACCTGTGGACACCGTCAGCCCAACCGCCGCGCCGCCTGTGTCGACATCCACCCCACAGCAGTATCAGATATCGCGTGCCCTTGGACGCCTGACGTGGAATCCGGCGCAACAACGGGTGAACACTATGAATACTGCTCCGCGAACGCCAGGTAGAACGGCGGTCCCACCGATACTTGGCGTGAGCGCGGCGGAACCGCCCGGGCCAGCGGCTGCGCTGCGGCGGTTGCCACCAGCGGTGGGCCCACATTTCACAGACCTTCCCCTATCGCATCACCCGTCATCACTTCGGCATCACCTGGCGTCACTCGTATCACATCGCATACGACTGCAGTTGACCTCCGCAAGGTTCTAAAGCGCCGGGTAGGCAGAAAGATAGCAGTCCCACTATCGCTCGCTGTGGGCACGGCCGGCTGTCCACGCTGGCAGTGGTCGTAGAGGCCGATGGCGGGAATTTCTCCATGCCGGCATTCATCGAACAGTGAAATACAACAGACACATATTTTCGAGTCGCTGACAGGTGGTCTCTTCTCGTTAACCCTTTTCAAAATTGGTTGCAGCTTTTATTTTTGCTTCGGCAATTTTCCGCAGAAATCTGGCCCATGCGGTTCAATCACTGTCCGGGCGAGTCTATGGTTCTTGACTGCTCGAACACGGCGGCCGGCCCTACGTACCAGTAAGCGGACCACAGTATTCAACTGTCCTATCTAGTCCTGTATGTCTATGGTGGAAAGATACATCTCCCTATCAGCACAAGCAAACTCTATCGGCACAAAAAGTCAGCCATTCACTCAAAGCACAAGTGCGACAAATGATACAGGGCTTGCACTTGATAACGAACTTGGCGTGAGGCAAGTGCTGCCTCCAATGTTTTCTGTTACGATTGTTATAGATCTCAACACAAGAAAAGGTTCCACCCAAACGTCTGGAAGCCCCTGTATATATATATATATATATATATATATATATATATATATATATATATATATATATATATATATATGTGTGTGTGTGTGTGTGTATATACAGGTGCTGCACGGAGCGAGGCCGGGAAGCCCCATATTTCAGGGGATGCACGGGCGCCCATTGCACACGCCTGGCTACGGGCCTGCGTATCAGAAAGCCGCATTTCCGGACCAGAATTCCCGCGTCATAATAGCCTGGCAATGTGCTGGAATTGGTGGTGCCCTTTGTGAATCGCAAGGACCCTGTTCTGAATCAGAAGGCCTCTGTAAGCATCAGAAAGCCCTTTTCTGAAACAAGAAGCCTTGTATTTGGATTGCGAGTCCCTTTGTTGGATCAAGACACCTGTTAAAAGCATCAATCTGACAAGGCAGCACGTGCCTCCTGGATTCTGCTCGAATACAATACTGCCCTGGAGCCCCTCCCCTCACCCTGTGAGGAATCGCCACTCTGTCCGGTAAGGCCCCTGGAAAATCCTGCCGTCTTCCGACTCAAAATATGTGGTGTCAAAATCTAGGAGACCTCTTGGTGAAAATCTGTGCAAAACCTACCTTGTGTCCGCTTCTCCAGAAGTTCCCCGGATGAGAGGACTGTCCACCCCTAATCGATGTTTGAAGAGCACGCCTCCCCTGCCCCCTCTCCTTATGACGCCGCCCTATCAATCAGGCAACATCACTCATGTGTGTTGATTTTCAGGTCAATGAAATGCTTGTTGACGGGCGAATATCGATCTATGGATCTGAATATGCTGCCACCTTGACGAACTCCTCTCCAATCACATGATGGTGGAACGGCTTCCGTCCTCAGTAGAAGCAGACAACTTTATAGGGGTTCCAGCAAGCACACTCTTTAGGTACGTTTAGCGGGTTCAATAACACTACAGCTGAGCACAAGGCATATATATGATGAAATATATTTTATGTCCCTCATTTATAAAATTTTGAAGCCTAGATTCCTTAAAGAAATTCCAAGCTGCACGTGATTTCTACCGGGTAGAATACAAACGCAGATACGGCGCATTTGTTACCTTTCCGGCGCATGGCTATTTGTTTACGGCTCGTGTGCAGAAGTGTATGTGTGGTGCAAATCCGCTCGGGTTTGAGCACAAGTTGGGTGGCTGTCGTAGGTTTTCTTTGCGAAGTATAATTTAGTTTGTGCACTGTGTGGATCGGTCTCCGTCTCGTCGGCATGGCCAACGAAACGATTGAAAAAATCCTAGCTACGCTTCCAGACAATGTTGACCTCGGAGGTAAGCCAAGCAGCCCCAACTTTGGGTAACTACTTCGGTGCTTGAGTGCTTTGGATGTGGCGTGTAAGTTCTTCCGTCTTTGAGTAGCCAACCACAGTCAATGAGCTTGATAGCGCCAGGTGTCACATCCCACTGTGCATTGGCAGTTGGCAAAGATGAGGGTTGCAGAAGCATGTAAATAGTGCAGTTCAAGCTCTCAACACATGATGGGTACCATCAGCCAAAGGTCTTTATCTTGATGCATTTGTTTTGTTGAATTGCTTGAATGCTCTGGTTGAGTTAAATTTTTCATGGGGAGTGCTTGGTCTTCATTGTGTCATACATCATTCATTCAATGGCCTCATATTGCCATACTCGAGCTATAGTGCAGTGAATTATGCTTAAGTCCACCTTGCACAAATGGTATTTATATTACCCTGCATTTGCTTGGCTCAAATAAGCTGGTTTTCAGAGCCAGAACTTTCTACTTCTGGAAGCCACAAACTTGAAAAGGTTGTGTAGTAAGCCCAATCCCATTCAGTCTGCAAGCCATGGCAGATTTTGATAGTAACTTTGATAGAAATATGCCCCAAATGTGGCAGTTTGCTATCCTTATTTTGAGCATGATTCCATCTGCCTCAAATATCTTGCTGATATGTTTCCCATGGGGTGCAGACTGGAATTCTATTGAGCATCACTGTGACTCAGAACTTTACATTTAATCTGTGGGAGGATGTGTTTTGGCATGCTTCTATCTTTGGCGCTCTCTTTTTGCAGAATGCACAGGCTTGTTACAGGTCCAGGCAGCAGAAATAAAAGCCCAGAAAGTCAACTGGCAATCATATCTCCAGTAAGTTGTACCCATTAACATAGAATGTTGTAATTGTAAGTGTAATGTGATGATTATGATTGTGTGTGAATGTGCAATTAGGCCATCATTTTGTTCCAACTTGTATTATGTTGCACGGGATGTACCATGCCTGCCGTCTTAGAAATGCCACCTCATGCTTCATTTCTTGTGTTAGCACATCATGTGTGAAATTACCAGGTGCTTTGCAGCCCTTTCAATCTTCCCCCCTTCTGTGTGATGGTGAGCTGTTGACTGGATACTTTGTGTGCTGTTTCTATGCTTGTAGGATATTTCCGCCATTCAAGTAGAGGTAGCAATCATCTTAAAGTCAGTTGTAGGTTGTGTTGGGCAGAGGTTGCCACTTGCTGCTGAGATATCTCCAAATTTTTACCCAGGTAGTATTACTCTAGGTCAACAGAATATTTTGTAACATCCTTCCATTGTTCAGCTGCCCTGTGCCAGGTAGCACTCACTGGCAAGTCATCAGCTGACTGGTATACAGTGGCTTACAGTGCTTGAAATTTGCCTATGCCTCTTTACCAAGTTTCAGATAGTTGCTATACATGAGAAGACAATTTTGCCATTATTTTAAGTTGTGTATGTAAGCATGGTCTGATGCTTAAGAACAGCCTAAAACAACGTCCTTGATCCGCGGAACGAAATGCACGGGTGACGCTCCCTTTAGACTTTTTGTGTGCATAGTGTACTTACTTTAATTATACTTGGCTATGCCTGTTACTGATTTTTTAAAGCGCAGGTTGAAATTTCTCGTAAATGTGTAAAGCTGCCAGGCTGTTCGAGATGTGTCTTTTGCGGGGCAACGGTTGTTAATTTACATTTTAAGTATAATATATATATATATATATATATATATATATATATATATACACACCCAAGTACTCCAAAGTGTGTATTACTGTAGGCAAAGACTTGACGTTTTTTACAAGAAACGTACTGCCTACGTTTCTTGACATAGCCTGATTATCTTGTGGTGCTGGGAATCGTGTTCTTACGCTTCCTTCTCCATTCAGGTGTCGACAGTGTACGTTCAAAGACTTCTAACGGGTTTCGTCGCTGCGTAAAATACGTGACTTAGAATCGTGGCATGGAAGAACGTTAACTAAACGAAAATAAAACAAAAACAGACTGATGTTATCTCGACTTGTGCTATATCAAGAACAGATAGCATTCCGTTTGACATAAGACTGACTAATGTAGGGTGGTTTGTGGGTGGTGGCGGTAAATGTGTGTTGGCCGGGTCACGGGTTTTTTATGAGGTCTGCTCTATTTTTGCCGGCGCTCCACCAGACCGAGTGCGGAAAACCCCCGTCTGGCTGTGGAAGGCGCTGAGGTGTCGGATTTGCGGCATCCGTCTGGGGATATCAAAGTACAGCGAGCTAGAGGCTCACCTATAACCGCGTGCAGAAAGCTGTGGGCTCTAGCCGAGCCACCGACCCGGGCTTTTTTTGTCGCCGCATAAGCCAAGAACCTAACAGAGTCGTTGCTTGGAGTGGGTGATCACGGGTGTATTCAGAATATTTGACAGTCTGATTAACGAGCGCGCCCAAATTTTCGCTGCTGTTTTTTTTTCTTCAAATACTTCTGGAAGCATCAACGTTTTCGTACTTGGAAGACTCGACCCCATATATGTCTCACATGTTGCACGTGACCCAAGCCTAATATCTAAGTGCGCGATATCTAATATCCTAATATCTAAGTGCGCGACAACGGCGTCCACCACAAATAGCATCCATTGGTCAAGCAGAGGAGCTTCCACCGCTGAAGGTCGACATCGTTGATGATGTACCTGGAATGTGTCTCAAAGAAATTACGCTCCAACCATGGTGAAGGCTAGAATCTGAATATCACTGCCCATCTGTGTTGTGCGATCTGGCTATTCCAGTTCAAACATAAGATGAGATTTAATATTCCCATTACGTAGCGTATTTGCTATCATGAGTATTCTTAATTCTAAGCAGCTCACGCCCTGACCGGGAAAGACGGTATACGCTCCACAGATTTTTGATGTAATTGCGGAACTCTTTCTGCTCATGACATTTGGGGTGCCTTACCCCACCTTAACTTACCCCATTTTATTTTACCCCACCTTACTTTACCCCACATTATCATACCCCAGCCCACCTTACCCCACCTTACTTTACCCCATGTTACTTTACCCTACCTTACTCAACTCCACCTCACCTTACCCCATCTTATTTCACCTCCCCTTACTTTACTCCACCTCAACACACCCCACCGTACTTTACCCTACCTTACTTTACCCCACGTCACCTGATTCTACCTCACCTTTATCCAACTTGCCTCACCCCATCTTACCTTATTCCACCTCACCTTACCCTACATCATTGTTGAACAATCCATTCATTGTATTGTCGAGGTATATGTCAGGTCCTAGAACAAAACCGTTTGACTTGAGTTTGCAATTGGCCATGTGACGTCAGTGACACTGACGGCCTTTTTTTCGGCCGGGCCAGGTGGGCTAAAACGTGGCCCAATGTATTTGGCGCTTACTTAGTTTTCGAGCGGTTGTCGCTCGTTCGTGTAAGTCTTTCCTCTAGAAATGCGGTATTTCTACACGGTACTGGCAGCGGGTAGCGAACCGGGATGGGCCACACTAAACACGTTATGAGCATGGATTTTGCGTGCCTGCCGCGCGCCTGGCCGACGGCGTCGTCCCTTAGGGTCGGTGACCGGCCAAGAGAGCTCAGTGCTCAAATTTCGTAAGAGGGGGCTTCAAATTTTCAGCGTGAATAGGTTTTCTGGCTTTATGTATTCCGAATTTGGATTGCATTCAGGCCAGGGGAACAAAAGTTAAAGGCAGGTGAGTGCTCAATAACTTTACGTACTATTGATTCCGTACTAGTCACTTCTTTTGCCCTAACCGTCCATGGACCAGGAAGGTAGGACCGAGAAGAGTTAGCACAGTAGTGTTACTTGCAGTATAATCTAGAAATACGTCAGATGTCCAATCCAGGCGAGAACATTAATTTACACTAACACTATGGTTGTCGGCCACTGAAGGTGTCGTGGCGTGGAAGATACAGTGGTAGGGATATTTAAGATTCAAGCGGATGCTATTTTCTATAACTTTCCCAAGAACCTTAAGGACTTATACACTGCATTGCACTGACAGCACGTATTCCATAGGGAACTTGTGGAAAAGTTCTGGATCGTTCCGGCCTCAAACGCATGTCCTTCCGGTTATGGATACTTCGCTTTACTGACTTAGCCTCCCTGGCCAATTAGCATGCCTTGTAAGTCGGCAAATTTCCGGCGTATCTAGACAGAAAATCAATGGATCGGTGCAAGATGATTAAACAATCTTACTTGGAGCGTCATGCTCATCGACTTTGGCGCGACGAAATTAGGCTCACAGCTCTGTTAAAAACAGGCCGTTAACACTTAACCCTTTGAGCTAGTGTAAAAATACATCATGGTGAGAGTGTGCTGTCAACGTGCTTTGGTGGGGACTGTTTGAGGGATAAGAGGCACACCTCCGGAATATATGGGGGACATGCACCTGCGGAGAGCGGGCCCGACCCTTTGGATCCTTTGCTTATCGGTGCTCGGAAGGCTAACTGCAGAGTGTGTCTAATGCGGCACCAATCACGCTCTGAGCTCGAGTCCGGTTAGATGTGGCTTCTAGAGCGCCCAACAATGCGCAGGGGGCCCCGAGGGCCAACAGCGCGAGCATTGGCCTGCCACGGCGGCCAAGTGCACAGAACTCGTACTCGCAAGCGGTGAACAGCGGTCTCTTTGGCCTCAAGCCCACCCAAGATGTCTGTGCTTCCCCAAAGAGGAAGGAAAACACTGGCCACGAGTTGCTGTGTCATGGGGTTTGCATGCCCCAGTAAAGATTCACTCTTACACGCCGTCTGGCTGAAAGACCGGGTTAAAACTGCCCAGTATGGAGCAGTTCGAGCCTATTGGATTGTGAGGCTTTTTCTCAGGCATAAAAACTGCGCTTGACACGGCCGCAGTCGAACGCCAATCAGGCTGGAAAGATTGCATTTCGTATTTTGAAAGGTTTTAAAGTTTTGCGACACATCGCTGCACCCAGGACGCGGAACCACTGGGGAGTGGCATGCATTGATAGGGAATCGAACAGGCAATCACGTTGCATGAATCGCTATGTCTCACGTGTTGCGAGTCAGGCGTGCGCGAGTGAGCAAGATAAATTACTGGCCGTTACTGGCCGTTTTTCACATTTTGCGCCACGTGTGGCCAACCAGGGCACCTAGAATCGTGATTCAAACTGCAAAAGATAGATAATTACAATTTTTGCGTTTTTCATTAGCGCAGCGAAGCAAGCGTCCAAACGCTTGTAAATAATAGATTCACGTCTTTCGCGCATATGGCATGAAGTTATCTGCATATGTTCTGCACTTCCGCTGGATAACGTAACATGGGTAGGCCAATTTGAACAGGTGCAGGTGCCCCCCGCATGCGCCCCCCCCCCCTCCCCCTCCCCCTCCCGCCGCTCCTCAGCACTGACGGGAGACGATGGCTTTGATCCAGGTCTCAGATGATCAGTCAGGAGGACTACAACTTCATTCTGGCTTACGACAACGCCGTGGGCAACCCGGAGAAGCGGAACGCCATACTCCGCGAGCACGGCTACCAGTGCGCCAAGACCTTCCTCAATCTGCTCGGCCACATCTGCAAGGATCAGACGATCCAGTACCTGCTGATCCTCATCGAAGACATGCTGACGGTATGGATTGCCCTGAGGCTGTTGGCGACTGATGGCATGTTACGCTTGATCTCATGCCGTGCGATTACCCTGCTGACTGCTCCTTTGGCTGGTCGTCCTTATTTCGTTCTCAGGTTTCTGCCGTCGGGTCCGGTCACTGAAAATCCCTGACAGTCAAAGCCGGCGATGGCTCACGTGCGTTCCGCTTGAGAGCGCTCACCAGTGCGTGGGAGGGGGGGGGGGCGGAGGCGCCTCGCAGCTCTGACGGGCCGGCCGCACGCGCGGCCTCCCGCCGCAGGACAAGGACAACTGCCGCGTGTTCCGAGAGTACGCCAAGAAGAAGCGCGAGAGCGTGTGGGCGCCGTTCCTGAACCTGCTGAACCGGCCGGACGACATCAGCGTGAACCTGACGGCCTGGATCGTGGCGCGGCTGGCCTGCGACGGGCGCCAGCTCATGGAGGCGTCCGACCTGCAGTTCTACTTCACCTGGCTCAAGGACCAGCTGAAGCGCCCGGTCAGTGGGGTGGTGCTGCCGCCGCCGGCCTCGCTGTCGGGACCGCGCCGCGATGTCACCTGTTGGCGTTAGCATTCTTGCGGCGCCACCGATGCCTGGCTCTGACGCATTTGGCGAAATGATCTGAAGCTCGGGGCGGTGGTTTAAGTGCGTGGTGGAAACGGAAATGATCGCTCAGAGTTTTTGGTAATGTGAATAACCTGGGTGCTACGTCTGGGCTGAAGTGCAACCAGTCTCCTTCAGGGTCGGTTTTAGGTGGTCTCGTAATCACCAACTTCAGTTACACTGCAGTGCAAGTCTCATGCCACTCTCAGGTTATAATACCCCGCTGATTATAATGCCACGACACGTCGTTTCCGTCCGCAGAACAACCAGTACATCCCGACCATCGCGCGCTGCCTGCAGCTGCTGCTGCGGGTGGACGAGTACCGCTACGCCTTCCTGCGTGTGGATGGCGTGGCCACGCTGCTGGCTGTGCTGTCGTCGGGCGTCAACTTCCAGTGCCAGTACCAGCTGGTCTTCTGTCTCTGGGTGCTCACCTTCAATAACGACATTGCAGAGAAAATGAGCAAGTGCGTAGGCTGGCCCCTGCATGGCATGGGGGTGGTTCAGGGCTGGCCGCAGTGGCATTCGTGGGAAGCTTGTGAAGTTGTAAATTGGGGTGTCATTTTCAAGTGCTGAGCTTTGTTTCGCGTCAGTCAAAAAGCTGACTGCTATTGAGATGTCAATGAAGTCATGAAATCACAGCCCGAGGCTCGGTTTCCATTGGCATTGTGGAGAGCAGCACTGCAACGTGTCAATGTCAGGTGCTGGCTTAAATGACCCTCAGTCAGATCACTGAATAGCCAGACAGCTTCTGGCGTGCTGACAGAAGCATGTGGTCATTGCAAGATGCGTGGCCTCTGCGTACTGATTATGAGGTTTGGGGACGAGTCTGCGTCATGTAATCATGTAATGGCGTGGATGTGTGTGGACTGAAACAGGCCGACACGGGCACCCGATCGACGCGGTGCCAAGAGGCTGACGTCTTGGTATGTCCCCTCTCCGATGGCTAGCATTTCTTTGGTAGCACGATCCCTGTCGACTAACGGAACGCCGCGGGCAGGTTCAGCGTGATCCCGATGCTGGCTGATATCCTGATCGACACTGAGAAGGAGAAGGTCGTGCGCATGTGCATCGCGTGCTTCAGGGTACGTGTGCAGGCGACGCGGCGCATTTGCTGTCAAGTGCGCCGATCGTGTCGGTGTGTTTCACAATCTCTGATCTGTTAGTGCAATGTGACCGTCGTAATACGTCCGTATCTCAGTGTCTCATGGCGGATATAGCCGCAAACAGTAGCCCGCAAATGCACTGGAATTATAATAGCTAAGCACACAAAAAAGACACAGATGTTAGTGATCGGCACTCCAACGATGTTGCCAGACTGTCCGCCAGCCACACTGAGCTTCTGTGGTACAGCAGTCCTTAGCTCCATACCAGTGAGAAATCTCAGAGTCACCATTGACCATCGCGTCAACTTCCAAGTATATTTGAACACAATAACCCATCAGTACTTTGAAATGCTAAGGTGCTTGTCTTACATGTTACATGTGAACTAGAATGCGGCTTTAAAGAGCATTAAACAAACGTTGGTGTTGTCCTCTGTCATATACCGTATATCTGTGTACGGCTTCTGTAGCGATACTTAGCAGCATCAAGTGCAGAATGTTGCAAACTTTGGTTCGCGGGTGGTGACAGGCAAGAGGCGAAACGACCAAATATCGGACACTATGAAACGACTTGGATGACTGGCTGCCAAACAACTCATAGACTACCAAATTGTGTGCTCTGTTTGCACTATCATCAGGCCCGAGCTGCTCGAGAGCATGTATTGCACGATCGGGCAGTGTGCAAATCAAAGGAACGTACGCGACATCAGACTTGCTGGACGTAGCACCCTGCCGCAAATCCGCGCGGATGCGGAGGGCGCTGACTATTTTACCACAGCGAGGGCGAATAATTGTTGAATAGGCTTGGTGTCGAGCCCCAGGCGCTGGCTCTTCGACGCCACGTGAGACAAACAATGCTGATGGCATAGTTGACCAAGCTCGGATTTGGACTTGCGATGTTTGGGTACACGCTGTTCATCTGCTCATGTGGTGTGCGTGCGTGTTCCCGGTCCGGTGTCAGAATTGCTCGTTTGCTTTATTCCCTGCATTGTTGTATCTACAACGACGTGCCTAGGTTATAAGCCACCATGTGGATGCCATGTTGAATGTCTCATCATCATCGCACATCGGCAGGCCGCGCTTATTGCACACAGGGAGCCGATCCCTCCACTGCCTTCATCGCAATGTTGCCGAGCGTGTCGATGGCCCGCCTGATGCTGCGGGATGCGGCCGCTGCGCGAGGTCGCGGTGCCCGTACGGGACCCGTCTGTCCGGCCCGATCCGGCCCGGCGCGCTCGGCACGGCCGCCCCTCACCGACCCCACGACCGCCCCCCGCAGAACCTGATCGAGAAGCCGCAGGACGCGAGCGTCGTGCGCGAGAACTCGATCCAGATGGTGCAGTGCAAGGTGCTGCGTCACCTGGAGCTGATCGGGCAGCGCTACAGCACCGACGAGGACCTGCGCGCCGACGCCGACTTCCTCACCGGGCACCTGACGGCCAGCGTGCAGGACCTGAGGTGCGGCGCCGGCCAGCCGCACCGCTCCCCGGCTCTTCCCGTGTGCCCTTGGCAATAAGTCCTGGCTCTTTGGCGTTGGGCGTTCGTCGTCTCCACTCCATCACCGTAATCCAAGTATAATAAGTGTTTGATAGCGCTATGTTTTGCGATCCTTAATTGCTCGAGAGAAATCATTTGATTGTGTTGCACCTTCACGTGTGTTGCGTTGGTAGGCGTAACTACTTGCGTTTTGCCGTGATTTTGATCTGCGCCCTGAAGCCTGTGCCCCCTGTACATGTAGCGTACATACATGCGTAATTAGTCAAGCAAGCTTTTAAGAGCTCGTAAGTGCTCAGAGGGACGTTGTAAGCACTGTTCGGATGGGGAGCGCCCGCCTCCTTGGCGCGCCGCCGACCTGTGACCCTGCGGCGCTCGGGCAGCTCGTTCGACGAATACAGCACCGAGGTGAAGTCGGGCCGGCTCGAGTGGTCGCTGGTGCACAAATCGGACAAGTTCTGGCGCGAGAACGCCAACCGCCTCAACGACAACAACTACCAGCTGCTCAAGATACTGGTGAGTGCGCGCACACGGTCGCGTCCAGCGAGGACCTGCGCCACTGTGGGTTGCAACTGAGCCATATAGCGTACTGTGTGGTAAAACACGCTGCGCTTAGCCGGATGGGGTGCTGCGTGGTAAGACACGTTGCGTTCAGCCGGATGGGGTACTGCGTGGTAAAACGCGCTGCGCTGAGGCGGATGGGGTACTGCGTGGTAAAACGCGCTGCGCTGAGGCGGATGGGGTGCTGCGTGGTAAAGCACCCTGCGCTGGGGCGCGGCTGGCAGAATGCGTCCGGCAGTTGTCCGGTTTGGACTGGGTTTGGACAGGCGTATGGCCAGGGTCGGCAACAGCGTGCTGAAAGCTTCCGTCAGCCGGCTTTTACCGGTTACAAGCGGCAGGCGGAGAGTATTGGCCGCAGACATCGGTGGAAACCGTTAAAAAAACAGACAAGTTACGGCAACCTAATGAACTGAAAGGAAACATGATCTAAAATTGGTGGCGTAGTGGTTTGTGCACGGGGGTCTTAATATATTGCTTTCGCAGCTTCTGTGAGTTGGTGCTGATGCTAGCCGGTAAGGACCAGAAAACGGGTAGAAACTGTTTTCATTTTTATTCAGGTAGCGCAACGCACGTCGTCTCGCACCCTTTTAATGAGCGCCAGCAACTGCAGAGGCCATACTATCGCCTTGGAACCATCGTACCACCGAGATTCGGACCCGGGTCCCACACATGGGAGCCGAATGCGCTATCCACTCGTCCATTGTGCCTACTAGAAACTATTGGTCAGCTGGCTGAAGTACCAGCCTTGCGTTTGACGTACCGAAGACAACTAAGCTTGATTCGCTCATTGATGAAGCTTAGTTAAGTGTGCGTGTTGTGCTGTTGAGCTCACAGACTGTTCCACGATATGTCAGCAGCCCGTATAACAGCAAAAATCACTTGAATGTCTTGTTCTGTGCTGTTGAAAACTGCTACTATACATGTTTTTGCTTGTGTGTACACTTAGCACGTGTTTCCTAGACATCTGTTGGGTCAGTCCTCAAACACGCTGGAGTTTTGCACGCGTGTCCTTTCCTGCAAGCAGATCCACCTGATTCAGACGTCCAAGGACCCGCTGGTGGTCAGTGTGGCCTGCCACGACATCGGCGAGTACGTCCGACACTACCCCAGGGGAAAACAGTGAGTTCGCCGGGGTCGCGACCGCGGCTGTTGTCAGTACCAGTCGACCGTGTCAACTTTTCAGCACCATTGATTGGCCCGAGTCCACAAAACAAAAATTATTTAGTTACGCCCTTTTGGTCGGATGGATTTCTGGGATCAGCGCCCACGTTGAACAGTGTTTGTCGACACAGCCCGGTCTGTCCTGCCCCCTGACCTCACCCCGTCACGTGCTGACGTCACCCGGCCTGCACACGGCGCTGTCCCCGGCCGCAGGCCAAACCGTTCAGGAGCAAACAGCCAGCGACCGAGCTGGCTGGAACCCACCGCGCCACGAGTGGGCGAATGGGATGGCTAAGCCTCTTACCAACTGAACCATCTGAACGGGCTGTGGACTGAGGTGGGGGGGGGGGGGGGGGAGAGATGGACTTGTGTTATTTGGCGAGACGTTAGTTCAGGATGTCGAACATCAGTCGTGTCGGCTCTGCTTGAACGTCATCAGTAAACTGAAGTGTGGCTCTGTCCTGTAGAACGCTTTTGCCCGTTTTAGCACACCGCAAGTTGCGGTGGGCGGCACTTCTGCCCAGCGATGCCAACACTTCATATCCATGGCGGACGCTTCAGAGTTGTGATCGCACGAGTTACTTAAGACACCGCTCCCTAACGTCTCACACTGTCGGAGAGTCAACACCGCACTGTACCGTGGCTTCAAGGAGGCCCCTGTCATCTTCCCGTCCCTGCGTGGGCCTGTATCACACATGCTTTGCCGCGACACCATCCGAAGCCCCCACCACTGCCGCCGGTCGCCCGACATTGATCCGGACAATTGATTGCCGCCGCGCAGGAACGATAACTAAGATTGCCCGCGCGCTGGTCGCCTTGATTGGGCCTGACCGCACGTGTGCTGCCCGCAGCGTCATCGAGACGCTGGGTGGTAAGCATCGGGTGATGGAAAAGATGCTGTCGGAGGACCCCAACGTCCGCCTCTGCGCGCTGCTCACCGTGCAGAAGATCATGGTGCACAACTGGTACGTTTCGCATGGCGCTTCATCACCGCGTTCAACCGTGCGTGTGGTTTGTACTGAAGTGATCTTAAGGTGTAATCCGTATATGCGCATCGGCTGGTCTAGTTTTAGTTTGTTTTAGCGCGAGAAGGGTGTGTGGAGTGTTGTTTTTGCGTCTCCACAAGAGCCATAGCCCATTGGTGTTTGCCTCGTTTTCGCCCTAAGTTGTAGTTTTGAACCACCCGTAAATGTCGTGAGTAGACTGTAGATAGCAAGTGGATGCGTAGGATTATTTAAAATGCCCGTTTTGAGCCTTCCCCTCCCTGAACTGTTGGTTGGGATTTCAAGCGTGACTTTTCACTCCAGGGACTACTTATCCAAGCAGATGGCAAAGGAAAAGGAAGTGGATGTCAGTGACATCATGAAGAACCCTCTCGGCGCCCGCTAGTATTGCCATCTATAGAGTGTTGTGACCACTTGTAACTAAGCAGTGTGTAGACGGATGTTGCCGGGCTGCCTCGTTGGCCTTCACAGGCTCCACCTGATGTTCCGATTCTAGTCGGTCGCTGATTGTTTGAGTTCTGCTTGCATGGGCGCCTATGTTATCGTCTTCAGAGGCCACGGGACGTGCTATCTTACGTTACGTAATTCGAGTGAGATGAGGGTGTCAATAGCTTGACTCGAAAATGCGCGCAGAGCCCACGTACTTTGTCGCGTCATTCTGCTTTGTTAGCCTTATGTAAGCATTTTTATCCGAGCAGGTTTCGCTACCGAAGTTGCAAATATCGTGCACCAATATTTTGGACCGGGGTGTTTGTCCGTGTATCATTATCTGTCGTCGGGGTGTTTGTACAACGGCCGTCTCGGCGGCGGCGAGCTGCCGTCACCGGGTAGTCTCCGGTTTTTGCCTGCTCACCGGCCTCACCTCCAGCGATGTAGGACACGACCGGTGTTTTGGCCTGCAGCTGAATAGGCTGATACAGGGGAACACAGAGGCTACGTAACCATAATTGTTAGCTGGCCGCCGGAGCGTAATTGCTTGGGTTGATGCGGTGGCCAGGCCGGCCGCAGTATCCTGGGTTGTCCCGTCTGTCTGTCGTGCTGGTAATGTTGCGTGTACCGATGCCACCGGTCCGCCATCACATTCCGTGCTTAACGTGATTGCATTCCACTCTCGAGTTTCCGTTGCATCACGCCTGATGTGGGGCGCCCGTGCGGCTTCAGAGGCTGAGTCCAGACAGCTGAATGTGTTGTTGCCGTAGTGTACCCGTGGTGACCGATCAATACATCACGGTAGCTGTTATCGTTTCTATTGTGCGTAAATGGTGTCGCGCGTATGGATATGAAGCTAAAGAGCTCTCTATCCCGCGTGTGAGCGGCGCCCCCAGGCTAGTATGACAGTTGGCTGCACCAGTACACCATGCACCGTGCGTGCGACACCAGTACACCATACACCGTGCGTGCGACACCAGTACACCATACACCGTGCGTGCGACACCAGTACACCATACACCGTGCGTGCGACACCAGAACACCATACACCGTGCGTGCGACACCAGAACACCATACACCGTGCGTGCGACACCAGAACACCATACACCGTGCGTGCGACACCAGAACACCGTGCGTGCGACACCATGACGCCGTACTTGCTTGGTGCGTGGACAGACAACGTCACCGTATATCCTCTCGGTCGCCGGAAGCCGTTTGCGGGCATTGGGAAATAGCGGAGCCATCCTGGTCTCGGCTGCAGCGTGCCATGCCGCGGGACGGGCGCGCTGGATGTTGCTCGCCACATCAGCGTGCCACGCTACGGGACGGTCGCGCTGGATGTTGCTCGCCACGTCAGCGTGACGCGCTACGGGACTGTCGCGCTGGATATTGCTCGCCACATCAGCGTGCCACGCTACGGGACGGTCGCGCTGGATGTTGCTCGCCACGTCAGCGTGACGCGCGTGTCTAAATCGAGAGCCTTATTAACGGCTATTGTCCAGATTGCTGCCTTCCTGCTGCGCGTCTGCCTGCGCGCCCTGTCCTGCGGATTGGTGCTGACCCACCGGAGCCCTCGCGGTGTCCAACAGCGGTAACTGATGACTGGCACATGCTCCTATCAGTTTTCCACGGCAACTCTGCGCCCAGGGTAAAGGCCACTTATGGCAAAAAGATGATACAAGTGGGGTCACTTGCTGGCTGCGTATGTCTGAATGCTCCAACCTTTATGTTTTGACATTCGACCCGCATCACAGTTTTTTTCCAAGCCGAACCGCCGAGGCCTGTCCCGTATTTGCGTCGAGTTTTTGGCGGCCGGCTGCGCACCGAGCTCCGGCCGGCCGAACTCTTCGCCCCGGCTCACCATCAGCGCCCGCCAGAGCCGGGCTCTGGCCGCGCCCCTGTGCATGGAGCCCCGCCGACCCGCCGCGCCAGTGCGTCCAGAGGCCGGATCACACCACGGCGGCGGGATGAACGCTGGCGCGCGCGACGACCGACACGTGAACTGTCAGTCAGTGTCAGTGTCAGTGAACCGTGGCCGGCTCTCAGGCCATCCCGGCGGTCGCTAGGTTCGAGAAGAAGGTGTGGGCGCGAATGTGGCCCCCATCCCCACCTCCATCCCTACCCCCGAAACCGGAAGCCGACGCCGGCAGACGAGAGTGAACGCCAGCAGTGCGGCGGCAGCGTGGAAGGCGTCCGCAGCGAAGTGCTGAAGAGAAGTCACCTGGGCGAGCTGTGTGTCGCATTTGGCTGGTGCTTGCAGAGATGGCCATACTGAAAACCTCTGGCATGGTGGCTTGCGGCACGAGAATCTGAGAATGAGTGTCGCAGTGGAAAGGAGGTCTAGACCCTATTTGAAACTCTTCGGCTATTGACACCATTTGGCAGGAACCAATGCTACTGCGTCGAGGGCAGAACTCTAACTTCTAGGCTAGTGAGTGAAGCCTAGCGTCCTTTCTGCGATTTGCCCAGCCAAGCGTGCACTGAAAGGCCTCCAGCAAACTGTGAAAACGCTACGAGGACTGCCCAGATGGATACCGTAAGGCTGCTTAGCTCCGCAGGCGAGCTGAACACGTCAGACAACGGTGAGACCAGTGAGAGGTGGCTTAGTGTGATACATCTAAGAACGATCCATACCGCAGGCGAGCTGAACACGTCAGACAACGGTGAGACCAGTGAGAGGTGGCTTAGTGTGATACATCTAAGAACGATCCATACCGCAGGCGAGCTGAACACGTCAGACAACGGTGAGACCAGTGAGAGGTGGCTTAGTGTGATACATCTAAGAACAATCCATGCCGCAGGCGAGCTGAACACGTCAGACAACGGTGAGACCAGTGAGAGGTGGCTTAGTGTGATACATCTAAAAACGATCCATGCCGCAGGCGAGCTGAACACGTCAGACAACGGTGAGACCAGTGAGAGGTGGCTTAGTGTGATACATCTAAGAACGATCCATACACTACTTCGAAATATCGGAATTTAAGAAGCAGCGTCAGCCAGGTCGAAGGATAATGGCCGAGACGTTGCACGGGAACGAATCGACACACCAGACGAGGACGACACTTCGGACAGTTATTCCATGCGTGACACTAGTACACTACCTCAATCTTCCCGTCAAACTTGAAATGAAACATCTCGTGTTACAGTGGGATTCATTGCAAAATTGTCTCAATGATCTCCCAGGAAAGATGTCATTTAGCGACTTAAACGCACTTGTGACCTGAAGATAAACGCTTCGGTCCTCTGGTTTCTTTTGTGATTTGTATCAACCACGCCTGCAAATATAATTGCATTATATCACTCAATTGACACAGAACTTAATGGCAGAAATGGCTTCAGGACGTGTAACTACAACATTTTTACCCATTTGAGCCAAATCAGCCTCACCAAAATGACCTAAGCTCATCAGATTTACACACAAGAAAGCTCGTCGTAGTCTGACCTTCGCTGTCAGCATTATGTTTCTAGCATTTATCTATGCTGAGGTAGTTGGAAAAGGGTGGGGATTGTCAGTTCTTTTCCAGAGCGGCTGTTTTCCGAGGACTTTAGAGCCCGCGTTTTGCTCTTTAGAACTTCGTTTTGCGAACAGTAATGTGGAGATTCAAGCAAGTCAAAAGCCTAGTTTGAGGAGGTCCATGCAACTTGACTTGTGAGTGCTAACAGTAGGTAATGATATCACCGTCTCATCGCATTACTGGCTCAGTCCACCATAAGGCAACTCAAACTTCCAAAAAACCTAACTCTTATTCTTCTTATCTCCTAATAATGGATATGTAGCGCTGTCGTAGGCCCGGATCCGTGACAACAAAAAATCCAAGAAACGATTCCCAGGATATAGCCTCACGTAGCTTGCAAAGGCAACATTATCAGTACTTTTTTGGCATTCCGTCATTAAATTTATATATTTTACACCTATACCTTGAAATTAAAATGGGCCGAGACACATTAAAGCTGTCCTGGAATTCTACTTTTCAAAATTTGATCACGTGGCTTTGTAACTTAATTTTCAAAGTGTGGCCTTGGCCTGATGGCAGACGAAAGCTGGATTTTTGTTTGGAGGCGATTTAAGCTTTACCGATGTCTTTTCAGATAAGGAAGCTAAAGAACATGGCTTTCTCCCTTAAAAAATTATTCCTGAGCCTCACAAAATAGGTTGTAGGTAGTGCTGGGGTCACCTGATGGCATATATTCGACTTGGAGGAAGGTGCCGAGATGCAGTCTGGGCTAGACAATGATTCACGATATTTTAGGTGTAAATTGAGGCTTTTTTGAGTACCTTAAGACTTTTTCATGTCAGGTCAAGATGAAATTAGAGTTTTTCTGTTTGGAAGCATTTGATGAATACTCTGTTCTCGACCCTTGCAATAAACACTGCGATCTTTCCGCGTTCTAGCGCGGCACACACAGAACCTTGGGTTAACAACAGTACAAAATGAAGAGTCGCGTCACTTGCTATCAGTAAAAACAAACACACAAAGTGCCCAGATGTTCTACACCTAAGGTATCTGGTATTTAGGTTTCATATACGCATTGTTAATTGAATAATATTTTCTTTGCACTTGGTAAGACAGCGAGAAATAGGCCAAATCAAAGCCTCATCCGGGGAGATACAACGAAGACCGAAAAATGCGGTGAAACCGAAAAGTGAGGAACTTTCAACGGCTTGTACTAGGAGGAAATCTTCCGTGCCGGAGGGACATGCCCTTTAAGATCACAACCTCAAACTGGCTTATTTTGCACCATAGCCCACAGAAGTATTTTCGTAATAGGTATTTTGTGGGTATAATGTGCTTAAAAACCTGTCTTTCAGTGGGTCAACACCAAAACGTTGCAAACAAAACGAAATGCAGCCCAGATCACCACGGCAGTGCACATACTGACACCGAGCCTCAGCCCCAATAACATATGCAGACCGCACTGATTTGCATTCCTCCGACACGCAACACAACAGAGCTGTGTTACCCGAATACAACTTCACCAGCAGCCTTATTAAGCTGATTTTTAAGTAATCTCGCCAACACAGCTTTCAGTAGCGCCACCGGTGACCCTGACCCTTTACCACTTTGACCTCCCTGCTTTCGCGATCTTTCGACAGCTGATGCACTCAGGTTGGGGTCCGGTCCACCAGGCAGAATTGGTGGTATCTCAGTGGTATCAGTGGTATTCGTCGTATCCCTCTTACGGTCGCCGCGTTGGCGAAGGGACCGCTGAGGTCTGTCGCGGCCTTTGCAACATCTTTGACACGCACATGAATTTTATCGCGGTTGCAAACTCGCCATTCAAAACGTGGACTTTACTTACAGACTGCTTCCTCGGAAGTGAGAGGCAGGTTTGATGCGGCGCGCGCGCCGGAGGCTTTACGGCAACGTGGCACGCTTTTTCGCCACCCCAATCCCATCGCATGCACCCTTTCGGTGTGAAGTAGCGCGAAGGAAGTTCCACTTCGTATTGTTCACACCTGAGAAGTCAGCGCTATGACGTCACCACTCGTATGTCACACCTGACGAAGTCAACGCTTATGACTGTACACACTCACGAGTCCCACACCGAACATGTCAGCGCTATGGCCGCGCATATTTGTTATGTTAGAAGTGCTTTTGTTACTGAAACCTGCACACCATCGCCAAAATAATAGATTTGTCCAACGCTTGCACTTGGTTCGGTTGATCGCCGGCATCAAGCGTCGTGGAACGCACGCACCGTAATAATTGCGTCCAGTTTTATATGTTACAGAAGTTATAATGGTTGCTCCTCGCCGTCCTTCCTCTAGCACAGTTCCGGAACGGGTGCACTGTGCACTGATTTGCGT